AGAGCAGGAATAAAACAAGGCAGAGACAATAAAGGAACATCTTGAAAATACTAGGAAAAAAAAAGGTAACCTAAACTTCTATATCCAGCAATATTTTTTTTTTCACAAAATGAACGCCAAAAAAAAAAGACATTTTCAGACATACAAAAGCTGAAAGCATTCATCACTCACAGCCCTGCATTAGTATAAATGGTAAATACTTGAAGAAGAAGGTAAATGATTAACAGGTGGAAGCTTGGGTCTATACAAAGAAAAGAAGAGCACTGGAAATGGTAAATATTTGGTAAATATAAAATAATATAGTTCTTATTTCTAAATCTATTTAAAAATAGTTGACAGCTTAAAGTTATTGTATTGTATATATGTAGAAGAAAAATGTATGACAACAAGATCAAGAAGGCCAGACATGGGCCGGCCGAGTGGCGTGATGGTTAAGAGCTGGTTTGGGACGCCAGAGGGCCCCAGTTCGGATCCCACATGAGGGCCAGTGACACTGCCCTCCACAGCCTCGCCCGGGAAGAGCGCAATGATGGTGCCAACTTGGGCCAGTGAAGCGATGTCCTCCACAACTAGACTGAAGAACAAAACGACAGTAACTTGTGTTACCTTTTCCCCAATTCCCCAGCACTGTTCCCATCCCCCCAATACCCCAATAAAAATCTTAAAAAAAAAAAAAGGCCATACACGGTGAGACAACATTTACTTTTCTTTATACACAGTAATACAACTGTTTAGATATTACCAGTTTACAGCTTCTCTGCCCTGCAGACTCTTACTGCCCACCCCACCCTGCTCCTCTTTTAGCCATGCACCCCAAGCTTCAAATCTTAAGTTTGCTACAGGCGACAGAGTGTTACATAGACTGCTAATATTTGTCTTATTATGATCCAATAAGCAACATAATAGAAGGAGTGCTTTTTCAGATTTCAGCTATTGGTTCCACTTACACATTCCAAAATTAGTAGAGGTTCTTTGTAGTATATTTTAATCAGTCTATTATTGTTTTAATTAAGAGAATCTGATCTCCCAGCTTACAGCCTTTATAACCATATTTACCAAAAACAATGTTTGTCTTTAATATTTTATTAGTATAATTTTATTACTATACTTTTATGTCCAAATAGTTTAGAAAGGCTCCTAAGGTACCTAAGATATTTGCTCTTATTGACTTTTATCTTTATTAAACTTGTTAAGGAAGTCAGATGGATTGACAGAGAACTTCACCTATTTCCTTACTGCAGTGTGTTTTATAGTGCACATCCAGTACAGTGCCTTCAGATTGTACAGCTAGAAATTGGATTAGGATCAATGTATTGAAACGTGTAGAATTTGCAATAGGGGATTTTATGTGACTAAGAAGTAAATATATATTTTAGATATTTGAGTTTGTGTTACTCAGTCAAGAAACTGGTGGCTTCCCCAAAGTCCCAGCACACTCTAAAACTACATTTAGAAAAACAATAAAATTAAAACTATGTATATTAAGATTTCCGCAGAAAATATTAATAGTATATATTTTACCAATTCTCAAAAATACATTTATCATTGTCAAATTCTACTTATGGAAATCTAATTAAAAAGAATAACTTCAACCTTTATAAATTTAAGTTAAAGTACATAATAAAAAGGAAAAGAAAACCTTTTCAAAAAAGGTTATTCTAGTAAAAGGATTACATGTGTGGTAACTTGAGATGGTATTCTGGAACGTATGCTACTAGTTCAAATGTGCAAGCTCCAACTTAACAAATGTTTAAAATATTTGAGTTTTTAAAACAGTGCCAAAATAAACCACATCTTTTCTAGAGATGACATATTTAGCTAAGCACGAGCAATATAAATCTTTCACCCATTCCATGTATTTGTTTAAAAACCTCAGAAACCACGTGCATTTCTAATAAAACATGAACAAAATACCAAAATCACTGGAGCCTAACAGTTGACTTATAAATCAATTTTTAAAAAAGGCAAATGTATTTTTCTGTGTGTGTCTGTGTGCATATACCTGTGTATATATACACATGGCATATATATCTATGTGTATATATATCTATGTATCTATGTATATATAGATACATATACACATGGTATATATTAATATGTATATAGATATATATGTATATATATATGTATATAGATATGAGAAGACAGTTTAATTGTAAATAATAGTGATCAACACAATATTGTCTTGTGAAAAATTTGGGTTCCATATAAATCATATGAAAGAAGACAAAATATGTAAGCCATGGCTATTTTATCATAATGCCTCATTCATCATTTGAAAATAGTAACTTCAAAAACAATTATGATCTTTAAAAATGTCTTTCTATGCAACTATATCCAATATTAAAACTATAAAATTTTAATACTCTAACCTTTTTTGTGAAAACAAACTAATATTATCAGAAGTGATCTATTAAGAAGATTCTTCAGTTTATTTGAATAAGGAAATAAAGAATCAAATTTCTCATTGAAAAGGAACATATTAGATAAAATAATTTAAATAAATTTAACTGACAATTTATTTATAAAAGTAGAAGTTTCTCACATATAAACAATAATAACTTTGCTATAATCACTCATACCTTGCTTAGAACCAGTAACCTTGCTTATAACTTGCCTCTGACTGGTTTTATCTTTAACAGTTGCTCTGTGGGCAGAGTGAGCCTTGAAGTTTAGACTTACATTTGATAAAACTACAGTCAAGTTTTAGCATCAGGCCAAATTAAAAACAGTAAAAAGCAACTCAAGGTTATTTTTTATTAACAGTGAATTGTCACAATATTCCTAATTAGCATGCTTGCTACTACGACCCTCTAGAGAGGAAGCAATAATGTGATACTATTTACACATATAGTTCACGTTATTGTATTTCACTGAAGGAAATGCATACAATCCTGATTTTTAGAGAATTCATATGTATGTGTATAAAAGAAACAGTGCAATAATAACAGAAATAGTAAGAGTCAAAATCTTTATTAAAACATTAAAAAAATAAAATGTTTGGAGACCTACGGTTGCATGGAGTTTAGTCATAAGACCTCAGTTGCTAGTCCTAGCCAGTCCTTGACAAGTTCCTAGCCTCTCTGAGTCTGTTTCCTCATTGGTAAAATGTATGTAATAACAATAATATGAAAATTATCATCATTATGCAGCTGATACATACAACTTATTGTTGTTGTTATTATGTGGTTGTTGATAGGGTCAAAAAATACAAATGTGGAAGAACTTTTAAAATCATCAAGTGCTACATATGTTTGTATTATCTTGTTTGCCTTAACTTCTGAACTCCTTCTTTTTACAAGCAGTGAATTCTCATGTTACTGCAGGAATCAGACTTGATGTTTAAAGCAAACTCAAGGCAACACCTCTGGGCTGTGTGGAATACTTCCGAAGTTGCTTTATTATTGAATATGTAGAGAACTGATCTTCACCGAGCAAGGTTATTCCCTCAGACACACAAAAAAGACTATTTGAAACATTGTTGGTGGACATTTTTAAGTGCAAGAAATCAATTAATGATAATATTTGGCTGTACTACTTGGCATTTGTAATTTTATACACCATTCATTTGCTAGGGGATGTGATATGTTGGAGGAGAGTACGTACAATCAACAATAGCAGATGTTAGAATTTTTGTAAATTTAACTTCATAATATCAAATTCTACAAAAGTTCTAGATATTGATTACAGGAATTGGTTGCTCTAATCTGATTGTTTAGGTACAGAAAGAAATGTTTGTGAATTATAAAATGTCTTTACGTTATACTTTGTGTTTTACAAAATCCCAAGCAAAATAACTCAAGAAAGGTTTGTCTATTCTTCAGGACTAACCTGAAAATTCGAGTTTACTTGTGATCTATTTGAAGAGGATTCAGGAATGGACTATTTCTGTGACAAGAATTGTTTCTCTTTACTTACCTTCATGACTTGCAAGTTGTTGTTTCTTCACACATGGAGCTGTTACATGTTTCAATTAGAGCCTGGACACAAGACTCCATGCACGACCAAATTATTTCCAATATCTCTATTTTTACAGTCACTGGCCTAGGAGAGGCTATAATTCTCTTTAGGATTATAGAGTAAATCCAGTTAGTTTATTTTTAACCCCTGTTGTTCCTTATTTTCTAATTATTAGTTTAAAAAATAAAAGCAGATAACATGAATGAATTCTAAATTTTAATTCAAAGGGATGATTCTAACTCTCAGTTAATTTAATGGATATAATAAGGAAGAAATTGAGTTTGTTAGTATTATGATTCTTTTGTCACTCTATGCTAAAACACCTTTCATTTTCCTGCAGAGTGAAAAAAATTCAAATGGATAATCTCCAATGGTGTATGAAAGAATGATGCGATAAATGATTCTACATTGGTCCTGAAAATAGGCAACGATAGATAATTTAGCTCAGTCTTAAAGATGAATTAAAAAATTGTATAGACTTAGAAAAACTTTCATTTGCCTACAAAATTTTCATGAATTCAGTCCTTACTTGTCTTTTTCATCCAGTTCCAGACATAGTCATTTTCTATTGGCCTCTCATCTATTCAATCTAAAAGAAAGATAATTTTCCTATAGCTAAAGATATACATCTGACCTTTATTAATAATGTCATGATTAGAAGTGACTGCTATGCTGTAACTAGTTTAAGTTATCTCTTAAACAAAAGACAAAGTAGGTAACCTGAACCAAGTTATAGGTTCACTTTTTTCCAAGTCCATATATTTTTACATTATAGTTTTATTGTATATTATATATTGGATTCTCCCCCTCCACAACAAAAATTCAAATGATAATCTAAATGAAGATAATAAAAAAGAATACTTAACATGTTTGATGGCCTCTTAGCCTTCTAGGACGGAGTCATGCTGGCACATGCACATTTTCAAGCCCAAAGGTCCCAGTCCATTAGACAGATCTGGCAATTTCTACAGCTAAATAGAGTTTAGGTAATTATTCAGACCAAACATTAAAATATACTGACAATGTGAATTTACAAGTAAACATGAACAATATCTTCTGTTTATTGAAAACAGTTTGCATTTTTTGTAATGAAACAAAAATGGTGCCTTGATTCATGTAATTTTAATGTATTAAACTCTTACTAAAACAAATTATACATTTACTTCTTGGTATCCATACTTAATATTCTTGGACACTAACAAAGATTACATGCATGCATTGAAGGAAGGCTATACACTCATGTCTGAGCTTCTCTCATCAGGTAAGAAATAAATTCTATATTGAAAAATGCATAGATTTGAAGTTTTGACCTAACACAGTGGATTAAGGTTTAGACAATATTTACTTTGCTGCATTTTGATTCCAAAAGAGCCATATGTGAAGAGACGATCCTGACCAACTTCAGACTATTTCTATAATAGTCTCTCAGTAAAAAGAGTTATATTAAATACAGTGAGATGGAAAATAGTTACGAAATAAACTACAACTTTATAGCTACCCGTTGGTAAAAGTCTATAGTTAATACATTTGGATAAATAACTCAAGTCAGCAGCAAAGTGGTTAAACATTTGTGATTTGATTTTATCTCGGCTTGGAATGTGGCTGGAGTGTCCCACTTCTAACAACTGTTTGCTAAGTTAAGGCTTTAGTGTTTACACAGTGTTGAATGAAGCAGCCTGGTCACCAGATGTGACTGCTTCCCAGACGGTCGTTTTTTCAGTCAGATCACTGTCCTCATGGTGCCTGTTCCCACCTTCTTCCTCAGGACGTCCACCAGCCTTTCCAACCTAAGTTGGGGGCAGGGGAGTGGGAAGGGAAAAAAAGAATATGAAAGTACAATTATTATCAGGAATGTTTGGGCTGAAAAAGGACAGTATTTGCTTGCGACCAAATAGCCCTGCGAGTCATGTTAAGAAACAAAGCATTACTGTAAGCGAGAGACACTGGTGCAGAATGTCAAGTATTTGAGGTTATAAAAACAGCAACAACACAAACTTTAACCCAGATCTTCTTCACATTAAGTCAGCATTAGATGCTACATGAAACATATATGATACTCATTTCAATGCATTTACCTCCTTGTGTTAAGGTTGTGATTCAATCATTTACTATGTAATGACAGAATGGCGTAGTATTAAATGTAGAGCAATGTCAAGCTGATTTTTACCTAAGAAGTACATATTTCAATACAGAATACCAGCAATCTTACACCTGTTGCTTAGCTAAATAAGCGACACATTGGTATAGTGTACAATTCTTACAAATTAGATTTCTTTTTCATAGCATCAGCTGATGAAAATAAAGCCAGGAATTAGGTGGCTAGGGGGTAAAAACTTCATGTCTCAGTGGCATGGAAATAATTTAAATATATAAAAATTATTTGATGCCAAAAAAGCAAGACTTTTTGCACTCCATTTAAAAAGAAGTTCCTATTCCTTAGCATGAATAGGTTAGGGATGACGATATGTGCTTTTTAGTCAAAGATAAGTGATTTTTAGTTGATTGAAAACTCACCAATTATACGGAAAATAGAATGAAAAGTTCTGAAGTCCATTCTGTGGTGTTCTTAGGCTACACTGTGGGAGGGAGATTGCATTCATGTGGGTCAGTGAGAGTTTTGCTTGACAAAAGATGATGGAAATCAGGCCATTCATTGTGTTATGTGCTTTTAAAAATTTTCTTTACTGAAAGTACAAAACCTTAACCAAAAACTTGCTTGGTGTCATACACAGAGAAATCTTTATAAGTGAAAATCATGCCCAGCCGTTTTTCATACACACAGCCCTCCCTCCTCAAAGACTGCTGAGCGACACAGCCTAGTCTGCTCCAGCTTGCTTCACTGATATGGATCCATGCATGAGGGTTCTTTGCAAATAAACTTAGCACAGAGCTAGACACTAACGGAATGAGGGTATTCTTAGTGGCATGCACGCTGGTTCAGAGGGACCCATCAGCTACATACAACACTGAAAACTAGCTCAAGTTTACTGGATGACTCTGCGTACATTGAGTTCTGTTGGAAAACAGGAACATGACATGAATTCAGTGCATCAAAAATCTTGGCTTTGAGGAATATAGTACTGATCTTAGAGTAAAAATGCAAATCTTGCATACCTTTGTTACTACAAATTTCTCAAATGTAAGTTAAGTATTATACCTCATTAAAACAGCTCCAGGCTAGTGGTGGTACAAACACTGCACTGGAAGAACCACGGAACAATTCACTGCAGTCACAGATCAGCCTGTACAAGGTGGACTTTCCCTAGTGATAAAAACTAGTGCTGTTATATCTTTTACACTCTGAATATTATGATTTGTAGGATTATATAAATCCTTTAATATGGACAGTTTCTCTAACTCAAATTGTGGAGGAAGGGGAAGAAAAATGTCACATAAAATTTTAAGTGTATTGTTAAAATATGACAGTAACTTGAATTAACATTAACAAATGGCTGCCAGCAGAAATCTTGACAAGCTATTAAATGCGTATCTCCACATATATTGTAAAAAGTCTGAAAATATTACTTTCAAGTTTGTTAAATATATACCCCTCCACAATATCCTGTGCACTATGAAAAGGACTTCCTCATAATGTGAAAGTAAGCTCTATTCTGCACAGTTATTATTATCACTACAAATTCTCAATCAATAAAAGCCCAAATTACTGACATGAATCTGTATTGTGCTTCTTTCGGCTTCTCCTTTACAGACAGGCTCATCTCACTTTTGCTCCCTTTTATACTTTGTGATGTCTTTCCATTTGCAACTAGTACATCTTGCTAAGGGAAGGGGTGAGGAGGAAATACTTAAATATCATGTTTTGCAATGTCTTTCCTACATTTCAACAATTACTAGATCAACCACATTCTCAGTTTATCCAGGTTGAATGATTTATGAAAATTTGATCTCAGAAATGAGAAAAATGTCAATTACTTAGTTCTGTGAAAGCTCACTAACGGCTGAAACACAATGAAGCACCTATTCCTTCCTGTAAGGAATGGAATACACCTGCCAAAGGTGGGCCGTGCCAACAGGAAGGGAGGTGTGGGTGTCTGCTGAAACGCCTTGCAGGGCTGGCCTGCAGGCTGTTCTTTACCGTGCAAATCAATAATATCTTCTTAAAAATTATGTGGCTTACTGAAATCGGCTCCAACTGTTTTACATGTTACTCAACGAAAGCTTCCCAAGGCCTTTATGAAATGGGAAAAGGGTTAAAGCTAGGGTTGGGATTTCTCCATTTTAAACATGAAGAAACTGATGCACAGACAAGTAAATCCTTCTACAAGGTCCTGTGGTAAAACAGTGTCAGATCCGGGCCTGGTTTCCTTGTTCTTAGTTCCAAGCGACTTCCTCTAGGGTTTGGACTGATAGAGAACTACAGAGCTCAGATTAAAGGTTAAGGGATTATTTGTCATAATAGCTTCATTAAATATTTTCCTCAAGTTCTTAAGTCAAATTGGGAACATAGTTGTGGGTATACTTCACCTGCTATTTTAGCACACATTATAAGACAGGAAATTGAGGACACTGCACATAATTAGGAAATAGTAATTACAATTTACTATAATTTCTATATAAACTTGAAAAATATACTTACAGCTATATTTTAGATAGAAATCTTATTTTTTCAATTAACATTATTTTTATATTTTCTATGTATTTACACAACATGTATGTAGAACAATAAAATAGCTTTCCATCAAGTGGATGAACCATAAGTTATTTACCAATTTTTATAATTGGTTTACTTCTATTTTTCACTCAATGAATATTGTGATATATTTAAAGAGGCAAGTAACACTTATTGAATAGTATGTGCCAGGATCTATGAGGAGTGAGTTATGTACATACTTAGTTTTCATTTTAACTCCATGGAGATGTTTTCATCAGATGACAAAACCAGAGCATATAGAGGGTAATGTGATCAGAGCCACACACACTAGTGAATTCTGGAGCTGGGATGCAATGCTAGGTCTAATGACCACATCCCCAATCTCTCTGATGTGCTATATCACTTCCAAAAGTACTGCAATTTTTAAAGCTTATTTCAGAATTTTTGTGGGCTTGAATTACTCTTATTGACTACACGATTTTTTGAATTAAGTGTATTAAGATGACATTGGTTGATAAAATTATACAGGTTTCAAGTGCACAATTCTGTAATACATCATCTATATATTACATTGTGTGTTCACCACCCAGAGTCAGTTCTCCTTCCATCACCATATATTTGACCCCCTTTATCCTCTTCTATCTCCCCTCCCCCTATACCCTCTGGTAACCACACTAAACTGCTGTCTGGGTCTATGAGTTTTTGCTGGTTTGTCTGTCTTGTTCGCTTGTTGCTTTCAGTTTTATATCCCATACGTACGTGAAATCATATGGTTTTTGACTTTTTCTGTCTGACTTATTTTGCTTAGAATGATAATCTCAAGATCCATCCATGTTGTCACAAAATGCACTATTTCACTTTTCGTATGGCTGAGTAATACTCCATTGTATATATGTACCACATCTTCTCTTAGATTTTTTTTTTGCAAAGTGACAGAAAAGAGTAAAAACAGAACAAATTTTTCATCATTAACTCAATTGTACCAAAATAAAAATCTCACTATAGATTCCATTTTTGAGAGTAACTTTTGTATTTGTCAATTTGAGAGTAGCATTCTTATTGGCTAGACAATTTTCTCTCCAGAAAAACCATTCCTATTATTTAAGCAATGAGGTTACCCCATTAAACATAGTTGGCTTTTTAATTTTTTTTTTCAAAGAGAAAGAACCAGGGAAATTCAAGAGAGACGGGTACTAATCATCCTTCCAGCAGAGGAGACAGAAAAGCCACGAAAAATGCTGTCCTGATGGTTTGCCATCAGTATCAAAGCTCTTGCTCTCTTTCAACCATGGCAGCAGGCAGAGAAGAAGACGTTAATGTATTCCTTTCTTTTGCTTTATGGCTGTTCTTCTGCTGGTCTTTTTTTTTTTTTTTAAAGATTTTTTTTATTGGGTAATTGGGGGGATGGGAACAGACAAGTTGCTGTCCTTTTGTTCTTCAGTCTAGTTGTGGAGGACATTGCTTCACTGGCCCAAGTTGGCACCATCATTGCACTCTTCCCGGCCGAGTCTGGATGGCCGCTCACGGCGGCTGTTGGCCGCTCACGCTGGCTGCTGGCTACACACGGTAGCCCATGGCAACCCACTGCAGCAGGGGCTGCAGCCTACGCCGTCACCGGCGACTCACGGCAGCCCAGCTCCAGGTCGAGCTGTTGTTCAGCATCTTAGCTGTAGAGGGCAGTGTCACTGGCCCTCATGTGTGGGATCCGAACCGGAGCCCTCTGGCGTCCTAAGTCAGCTCTTAACCAACGTGCCACTCGGCCGCCCTCTGCTGATCTTTTGAATGTTGATTTATTTTATCATCTTTATACTCTCCATGCTTTCCTCAAGAGATGTTACCTGCTCCCTTGATTCTACTTAAATGCTTATGACTTCCAAACACAGGTTCCCATCCAAAAACTCTCTTCTCAGTTTCAGACTCACATATCCAACTGCCTTCAGGACATCTCTTCTTGTTTATTCCAAAGGCACAGGATACCCAGCATATCTAAAACTTATTATCTTACCTCCTTCATATGTTTTAGTATTTATCTTTTTTTTTTTCAAGATTTTATTGGGGAATTGGGGAAAGGGAACAGACAAGTTGCTGTCCTTTTTTGTTCTTCAGTCTAGTTGTGGAGGACGTTGCTTCACTGGCCCATGTTGGTATTATCATTGCACTTTTCCCGGCTGAGGC